CGAAGTGGCAGCATCATATCAAAAAGTACTTCTCCAGGGATAAAGGGCCTTTGTATGCCTTACTAGTACTACTAGCGGCAACAAAAACTGCGTACTTGCGACAGTCCTACTTTCTAATCCTAACAGTCAGTAAGTGGCATCGATAATCTAGTGGTTAGACTATCGAACTCATAATCTTGAGGATGCAGGTTCGGAGGTTCAAACGTTAGGTCCGACGTTGTGTCCTTGGGAAAAGCATTTTACACGAATTTTCCTCACTTCACCTTGATGTTAATGGGTACCCAGCAATATATAGCAAAAATTTCGTGAGAGTATGTTAGTGTTTTAGCGCCCATAAAATGGAAACTTGCACTGTATGATTCCCAGAAAATTGAGATTGTTTCAGAATACTATCAGATCTGCTGGGGTAATAAAACTAGATTGGAAAGCACATAAGGGTGTGTGTCCATTGGGACAGAAACCAACCGACCCGATTCCGTCCGTCTCTCTGAAAGTCGATAGTTGAAATGCAGCATCGTTTTTTCCCCTAAGAATCAGTGAATATTCCGTTTGGCTGTGTCAACAGACACGACACGACACGCCCCGACTAAAGACATGTCTGTTGGAAAGCCACTTGCTGCATTTTAGCCGGGCCGGGTGGTGACTCATCAGCCATAGGCCCCGCGGGAGCTAAAAAAAAAAAATCTAATTTTGAGTTCGGATTGAAAAATGTAATGTCACATTCGTAATCAGCGCCTCAAAATTAGCAACGTATATGCGAAAACCACGTGGTTTGAATGCATATTGACATATTTTTTTTCCAATTTTCTTTAAAAACCCATATTACTTCTTTTCCCGCCTTGGGTTCATATGACATATCGACTATTAATATTTATAGCCCCGTACCGAGAACACAGCCCGACACGACAGCGGTCTAACGTACACGCCCGGGGAATAAGTAGGCCAACAGACTAGACGTGTCGTTTCCGAACTGTGTGGACACATAAGACGGAAACGACCCGACCGATTTTCCTCCTCCCGACAAAAAAATCGGGTCGTGTCCGTCCCAATGGACACACGCCCTTAGGCTTCGTGTCCATTGGGACCAACAAAATTCAAAATTTCCTACCTACTGAAAATGTTTAATGTGTCCCGCGCGCTCATATGGCCTCAGGCAGTTGCGAGTGCCGTAAAACACTTACCAAAAAAAAAATTAAACAAATAGTTCGACATGGGCCACAACATGGCCTTTGGTCTGCTGTCAGTGTCAGACAAAATTTGTCCGCCACGTCCTTTTAGAGTTATCCAAAGGAAATTGGCGGACATAAACGTTAGCTTCCACATGACTTCGTTTGCCAAGCAAATTGTTTCGAAAAAGTAGAAAAAGAAAGAGTCTAGTGTTGGCGAAACCCGGTCAGAAGCATTTATAATCAAAGTCATCTGATTCTTTTTAGCTTGAAGGAATATCAATAGAGTATTGCAAAGTTTCAATGTTTTTGGTTGTTTATATTTTTAAACGACGTTTGTGTGGAATCATTTAAGTGTTTCACCATCGTGAGTTCGATTCACGTGTGGGAAAGTTTTGTATCAAGTATCCTCGTCTTTCTGTTGAGAAATTACTGCATTCTAATTTGGGCGCCCGTGGCGTGCATACTTCGCCGTGAAGTTGTTGAAGAAAACAAATAGCTGCGGCTTTGGTAGTGCACAATCTAAGATATTATTATTCAAGTTTATGACTCCACTTTCTCCTCTCGATGTTAAACGGGAAAATAACAGGCTCAAGTTCGTGAGGGAAAGAAATAATTAACAAAGTTGGCATTGTTTATGTTGTAAGTCCGTCTGTCAGTTCACGATCTCACAATCTTTCTTTAACACCGCACCC